GCTCACGCCCATTTTGTCCGCTCCTTGAAGAAGTTCCTTGCACCACCACTGCTTTAATTTATCTATTCTTCTCTGATCCTCAGTTTTTGCTGCTTTGAATGCTTTTCTCTCTCCAAAAACTTCCTACATCTTCAACGGATCTGCACCTGTTTATTTTCGAATTCGTGTTTCCAATAGTACCTACCTGAAGTACCTTTCAATGGAAGCAAGCTCCAGAGTTAGAAGCCGGAGAAGAAAATTACTCCATTTCTGCGTTTGGTCGTAATAAAATTCTCGCAACGGAAATCGGAGCAGTCGGAGTTATAGGGTCTATAGTCTGCTCTTTCTAACTTGCCAAGTTTGCGCTGGTTGAACCTCTTTATGAAAAGTTATGATTTTTGAAGCAAATGCCAAGAAATCATAGTTACCCTTTTTTACGGCTTCAATCATAACTTTTGAGAGACGTTCAAACAGCGCAAATAGTAGGTAATTATAGCTATGATACCGATTGCTCCGATTTTTCGCAAGTAGATTTTTGCGACCAAACATGGGGAATATTAGAATGGAGTAATTTTCTTCACCGACTTCGATCTCTGGAGCTATCAAAAAGTGCCTCAGGAGGTACCATTAAAAAAAGCATGTCTTCTTTCAAAATAAATATGTGCAGATCGGATGTGAAGCAAGAAAGTTTCGAATTTTTAAGAAGGATGGGGACGAGCTTTTGGTTCATTAGTATAATTTTTCAAGGGCAGCGTCCAGGCAGATCTGGACCTATGGGGCTTTTACGTGGAAAGTACTTTTGGGGCCTTAACTAAGGCACTGCCCAAGTGGCAGCTTAGGTATTGCTCTAATGGCTGAGATATTCCCCTCGAAACTGGCCCCCGCAAACGTATTCGCATGGATTCATGGCAGTTTCGCGCCAGGATTCACGCTTTGCGCCATGAATCCATGCGAAACACGGTCGCGGGGTCCAGTTTCGAGGGGACTACCTCAGGCGTTAGGGCACTACCTGAGCTGCCGGTGGGGCAGTAGCTTAGTTAGGGCCCCAAAAGTACTTTCCACGTAAAATCCCCATAGGTCCAGACTTGCCTGGACGCTGTCTTTAAGTATTAATTTATGAAAATTCATCATCAATTTATAATAACTTTCACTTACACATACTTGCCAGTCTGACACATACCTATTTTGTGTGGAAAATGCTGGAATATTAGATTGAAACAAAAGTTCTGTCGCTCCAAATTTGGAAATTCCAAAAAAAAAATTCAAGTTGAAGTAAAGCCTTGATTTTTGCAGAAAACCCTTGTAATTTCCAAATCTGTCCCAGAGCTTCACTTTTTGAGATTTCGAAATTTCTCAAAATTTTGAACGAATCGTCCAAATTTGCTCCGTATTTCTTGGCGAAGAAGCTGGAAAATGGAACACTTGCGGCAAGGCACGATAATAATTCTCATTACAGAAAGGAAGGGAGGCCGAAGCCGGCTTCAGTGGCGCGGACAAGGTCAAAATGACACCCGATAAGTGGAGACGGTTTATTTCCCCACAGGATCACCTTCCCTTTGAAGCGCATATTATCCTTTGTGAATAAGATTGTTATTCTAGTTTTTATCTTATTCTTCCATTATTCTTTACTCTTCCATCAGTATAACATTGCTTTTTAATTCTTAATATCTGCTGATTTTTTCCAACCTTATTCGGTTACCATATATGCTCGAATGCTTCTGTAATTTTATGTATATTTATTTATGAACACTCCACTGACCTGTTAATTTGCAATTATCGACTTTGACCTCTTGTGATTCTATATGGTAGCTGCATAAAACAATACACTGTGCCCTTTGCTTTCTCATAAAAACTATCTCGTCTACTTCTCTTAGCATCTAGAAGGTTTAAAGGAATTTCCAATCAAAGGAATAATGCCTTAATAAAAAGCGAAAAGCTAGTAATGGAAAGGAAAACCTAGTATCAAAAGGGAAGCTTGATAGGGAAGAAATGGATCGCGAATCAAAAGCGAAAACCGCAAAGTGCTGCGGAACTCCAAACAAAGTGCTGCGGAAACCCTGCACCCTGAGATTGCAGGGTTTCCGCAGCGCTTTCGCAGAATTTCCGCCGGGTCACCTGCGGAAACCCTGCGAAAGCGCTGCGGAAGTTCCGGCCAGTTGTCTGAGACAGAATGCTGACTTCAAATCTGTATTCTATATCTGCTGATCGCCTTTAAGCGAAGCTATGAGCAGCTTTATGCGAAAATAATCGTACACAATTGCGAAATCTAGCACATTATTGCCCTCTCTCCTCACCTTTGGGTACGAGCCATATGAAGGACTTAGTTGCAAGTTTTGGTCCAACAGTGAGCCGAGAATGGCTTTGTAAGGCCAAGTTTGCACTATATACGCACACTTAGCAAAATAATAGTTATCTACAAAACTTTACTTTATCAAAACTTAGAAGAAAGAGGCATTGTGCGCAAAAGCCGATCGAAATGGGCATCATCGGTGGTGCTAGTAAGGAAAAAAGAAGAAACTTTGAGGCTTTGTGTAGATTACTCGGAGCAGAACAAAGTCACTAAGCATGACTCCTATCCTGTGCCTTCCATAGATGTGGTCAGAGCCTAAGTGGAAAAAAGTACTTCTCCACCCTAGACATGATATCAGGGTATTGGCAAATATGCGAGACGCGAGACGTCGCCAAATAAAAACAAAAGATTTAATCGTTTGAAATGATATTTATGAGTAAATTTTCAAAAACGTCCGATTACTTTAAAAAATGAAAAAACTGATAAATTTTATTCGAACTTTTGTTTGCATTGCAAGCTGTACAAACAGGAGATCTAAGGAAACATTCGTCTTGTATCGTCGTAGTCAAAAGAGCACACATTGTTTAGCTTTTGTCACAATGGTCATCAAAACATTGAGAGAATACCTAAGCAAATTTGAATCCTTGTTGATACTAAGAAGATAGTAGACATAAGCACAATGTTTCTTTTAACGAGCCGATCTATGATAGTGAGCGTTTTTTGAAGATAATAAGCGTTGTTCATGCGATTTACGCATTTTTGAACCGTTTCCGTATGCGCATTCTTTTAAAGCAGATCACAGTTTTTGGTCCAAACAAACTGCAAAGATGTGTAAATCAAAAAATTTTCAAGAAGCTTTCACGATAGCTTGCTTTTGAGTCTTTAGCATATTTGATATCTCTGTAATATTGCTTAAGCGTCTAATCAAGATTACAAAAATGGATAACATCTGGAAGCGGTGTGTGATCAATAAATCTCGTGAGAATTCACATTCATTTATGGTAGCGTATCGATGTTCGATGTTGAGGATTCTGACTTTTCTGACTTTAGGTATTCTTTCTTACATAAAGTGGCAACAGAAGGCACCGTCCACTGATAGGGTTCTTGAGCTTTTGGCATTATACGATAGGCGAGGCCCCTTTTAGGCCAATGCCCAAGTCGCGGCACAGCATGTCGACTCGAAAACGGGAAAACTGCTCTGAAATGACGAAGAGGGCAAAGGACCATTCCAGTACTGCTTGTCCATCCGTGCTCGCTCATCCATATCCGTTCTAGAGAGTCTGCTCCGCAACAGTTCTTCAGAACGGGGATTGGATTGGTTTTTACAATCTCTCAACTTCATATTGGAAATAGGGAAATGAAAAGGTCTTGTGACGACAAGAATATGAAAGTCGAAAATCTGGGTGGACGGCGCTTTTGGAAGGAAAATCTGCAGAGCTAATTAAGAGCTTTGATAGGCCTCTTTCCCAAAATCCCAACCTCGGTTTTTTTTATCTGTTATTTGGTGGGACCAATTCAAACATTACGCAACAAACTTTGATTTGCTTCGGAAAAGTACACATAGAATTTACTCCAGTGTCATAACAGAACTGTTATTAGAATGAAGTTCGAAAACAGGATGGATGCATCTTGCAATTTGCATGTTTGGATGCACAGGCAATGCGCGAAAGACTACTTTCGACAAGAGTACGGCGGATGGGGCCTACATATTGGTCTGTGGGAGTTTTGCTCAAACTGGCAGATGCAGCTAGATAAGTAAGCTCATTGTTGATTAAGCGGCGACAGTGTCTGCGCTGTCATTAAAGTCGACTGCACGAAATTGCCCGGGTAGTCTTATGCTGAGCGCACGCGAACGTGTTTGCAGCGCGGCTGCCGACTACGGGCGCTATGATGACTCATGCGCACGAATGCCAATTTTAGCCCGCAAGAGACACGGTTGCGAGTGCTCAACCCGGCGATTCCGTGCAATCGACCATATATACAGCATGACATGCATATGCGATAAGACAACGGAACTGTCTCTACACTGTGGCATCAACTATCTCTACAATGTGGTAGATATATTGTAGGCACATAGCGAGGAAAATCAGATAATGTTTGGCCCATGATGATCTGCCTGCAGCTGCTTTACCCGCTCTGCGCATTCTTCGTCTTCCAGTTGACCGCTGTAGTAACGGTGGACTTCGTGCTCGCTTTCATCAACGGTTTAGTTTCGTGAACGTGCAAACTTTTTGCAAATACCCAGGCAAGGCTCGCGCTAGGGTGGGATTTGGCGGCTTGCTATAAGTCATGATAGTAGTTAGCTTGTTTAGTCATGACCAGTTAACCACCCACCCCTCTTCTATATTTAAAGCCGATTTCCGGTCAAGTCAAAAAAGAAACGCGAAAAATCTTGCAATCATGATGTGTTTGATTTATAAGGGAGCTTTACCGCTCATCTAATTGAGACATCTTTAAACTAAGCTGCTAGCAATTTTGTAGTGATATAATGGAGTGCAAGGAATTCAATTCCTATGAAAGATCTGCTAAGTTTTCCTTTTTTCGGAACTCTATTTCGTGACTAGGTTTTTGATTTGCGATCCGTGTTCATTCGCGTAGTCAATTCGCATGATCTTATGCTCATTTATGACCTGCAACGGCGTAATTTGTCTTTGTGCTGACAATGAGTTATCCGAGTTTATCTTTGTACTGTCAATTAGCTATCTGAAGAAGATTTTATTCACAACATCCATTACCAATCAATCTTATCACAGATATTTTTGTAAAGTGGATACAGATAGAACAGGCCATAAGGTGTGAAGTGTTTTGCATCGTCAATGTATGCAACCCTTGTCCTATCGTCTACAAAGTTGAATGTGCCATTAGATGTGAACAATGGTGTGTAATCGATCACACTGCACTTTTGACAATTCTTAGCTAGCTGTTCGATTCGCCAACGTGCTGCCTCATAGTGGGTCGTTGTGTTGTCATAAAGCAACTTCTGAATTCACTCAAAATAGAAAGTTAGACGTATCTGTAACAGGGCGGCACAAGGTAGTATGTGCAATTTCTAAAGTCCCTCAACTTCGCAAAGTTTTTTAGTTCTTCTTTCATGGCCGTAAAAATCCGTAAAACGTGGAAGTAATACTTCGATGCGTTTTTTCGATAGAATATCAAAAAATCAATAATGAAGGAGAAGCTGGAATGACACTTGGGTGGCATGTTGAACTGGCAAAAAAGATGCGCCTTTCAAATACAGAGGTTTGGCGAAGATTAGAACTAACAAAAAATACCTTATTAGTCGAAATGGCCGTTTGCAATTAGATAAATAGTGTGAAAGTCAGCAATGAATGCTAACCTCGAAACCGCAATCCTTATCTGCAAAACGCTTTTTTGGGAACTTACAAATTTGACCAGTTTGTTAACACGTTGACGACGAGCCATTTTTTGAAGGTCTGTCCCCGTGGACGAACCGTTTCCGGGCATTTTCACAGCCGGCTGCACATATGTATGCATGCATCTATACGTGAAATACACAAATGCAAGTGGGCGGGGCAGCTCCACCCACTTTTGGCAAGCCCCGCCCACTTTTAAAAAATGCTGGAAATTGCTCTAAATCAATGAATTCGTGCAAATTCCGGCATTTTTGAAAAGTGGGCGGAGCTTGGCACTGAGGGGGTAGAGTCTGCATTACGGGGGGCGGGGTCAAAATTAAGATTGTTTAAGGTTCCCGTGTCATCTATGAGCTTTTCTATGCGATTTGAGAATGAAAAAAGTTTTTTGTAGAGGGCAGTGGAGTGGGCGGAGTTTGCCAAAAAGGGGGCGGGGCCAACATGAAATACTTTCGAGCCTAACTTGATTATATGAACACGTATTAGAACTATTGTGCACATTAAAACTCATGTTTAGGGTGTCGCGCACCATTGCGCGACATCGTCCACAGGGACAGACTGCCTGTCGCGCACCATTGCGCGACACCGTCGTCAACGTGTTAACACAACTTGATAAAGAAGCACTGCCAGCGCGAGTGTGGTTCACTGCACTAAAGCTGCCTTCATACTAATCCGGAAGTTCGAGATCAGTTTCAGCACAGCGCTCATTTCGAACGTTTTTTGGAACTGTTCCCGAATTTCCGGATCAATATGAACGCAGATTAAGTGTCGCGCGTTCAAATCATTTTACAAGCAGGTTTTTGCATTTCTTTTCAACGCCACAGTCTTCTTATAGGCGTTCAAAGAAAAGTAGCGCACTTTCGAGATCAGCATCATCAATGACTTCAGTAATATGTAATTCATCTCGAATGCTACCTCGACTAGGGAGATTCTTTATAAATACTATTTACAGGAGTCCCACTTGAGTTTCAACGATCAGTCAGAGATGTCCTTGCACAAGTGGTTCGCTTGGTTTCATACATACGTCATTTATGTTGAAACGGTCTAGAATAACTTTGCACGCTTGTGCGATGCAACCACTGTGCCGAGTATGTAATTAAGTCGCTCAAAAGTTTTTTCAACCAACCGTCAAGACTCACAGAGCCTTGAGCAAGCTGTCAAAGCATTAATCACTTCAATTTTTCTCTCCCTAGTAGCTTTTTCTGTGATCTGTGCAATGCAATTTGCAATATTATTGCCGTCGCCTTCGAGCTTGACAATAATGCCTATTTCTAAAAAACATTTGAGTTTTTTGTATTTGGCGCTAGCACGCCAAAACATTTTTCTACATCGAGCTATTCCAAATTTTGATTCCAAAGTGTTTTGGTGATTTTTGGTGTGGAAAGGCCTTGCTTTTGAATACATTTAGTGCGTACCAAAACTTCAAAAAATCTATTTGGAAAAAATTAAATCAGTATATGCTGCACAAATAATGTAACTGTTTTAAATTGCGAGAACTCCATTGGCTTTTAGCTTTGTTGCAGTCACGTCCACGACTTTACTGGAATGAAAATCTTGAAAGAATGATTACGTAGATTTCTAAGGAGTCGGAAGATTCAAGAGCCCTCTGCCTGTGTTCCATTTGTCCGACATGTACTCTCTTAAAAAGTATATGGAGAAGAATTATGTGTATTAGAGTGGGAGATAAGAAAACAGATGAGAAATTGGTAACTAGCTGTAAACTAAAAAAGTTTCATTCGCCAGCGTGACTATTTGAAAAGAAAGCAGATCTGCATAAAACATGTGTTTGTATGACTGACAATATGGAGTACGAGAGTTTGAAAGAGTAAGAAATAGCGATTATTGGGTGAGTTTTTAGCAAGCCTCAAATACGAAAAATAGCCTCAAATAATAATATAATGCATAGCCTTTGCTATTTAGTTTAGAAACTTTACCGAGCTTGTCGACAAACTACCCGTGCCATTCAAAGTACAGTAATTACCTCTAGATCCATTGGCTTCCTTGCATAAAGACTGGCGTGATATGCCTCCTGCCATTTGTTGAGTACGCGGGGAATGGCATTCAGAATAAAGATACGATGCTCAACAATTTCTTCTAAAGCTTTGAGGACAGGTATTGCCCTTTCCACAAGCGGGTCGGGAATTGTTGTTTTTGGTGTGTCCATCCATGTGAGATGTCTAAAAGCAATTTTTGGTGTTAGATTATTTGTATGCATTCCTTATAATGTTCTAGAGAAATACAGTTTCCCCCAATTGAGATTCAGCGCAGTCGTCGGCTGAATTTACGCGCGCTGCCGCAGAGAGAGAAGAGATTGAGGAGAGAGCAAACTATAGCCAGGGCCCGGGCACGCGTTGGTTTGGAGGTTTTTAGGAAACGAAGTCCCTCATGACTTCGCGAAAATTTACGAAGTCCCTATCGATGTGAAAATCAGTAGGGAACTATCGATGTGAAAATCAGTAGGGAAACCCCTTTTCAACCAAAATAGCAACAAAAAAGCGAAAAAAGCGCATTTGAGGTATGTTATGCAACAAAAAAGCAAAAAGAAAACATTTCGAGTCGATTAAAGGCTCTGCTATTGGGTATAATACCATTTTGATGCTGGGTAGTCGAGAATCTCCTATCAACCAAATCTGTAGCCTCAACAATCCTGCGATGCATTTTTAACCACATATTTCAAAGGACACCGCAAGTGATTGGAGCGCGATATCTATCAGCGCGTAGAATTACACTCGACTCAAAAAAAGGGGAGAGGCAACGGTTTGATCCGCTCTCTTCACTATATGGTAGATTTTTGACCGTTCTAATCGTCCAGATCAAAAAGGTCCAAAACTTATGTGAACTCTCCGATATTTATGCTCCGAACCAACCCAGTTGGTTTGGTAGTTGGTCTAGAAACCAACAAATCCGAGAACGGATATTAGGACACATAAGTTTTGGGAATTTTTTACATAACATAGTTTGGAGTAATATTGTATACATATAGCCCAAATTCGGAGCCATGTGATTGTTTGTGCGCTGTAAACAAGCCATTTGTTTGTTTAAGTCTTGCATTTGTAATTCGCGCGCTTGCGAAAGAACACGTATAACTCGTGAAACCTGACATGTTCGTCGTGTTTTTTTTAACGCTTCCTCCAGGACCTCATGAAAACGATGTCCCCGTTGCTTCTAACTCCAAAAACAAAGTCCAATTTGACCCTAAACCATCTGTGCCGGGCCCTGACTATAGCTGTATACGTGACGCGATGTCCTCGCGACGTGGACTTCCGCCATGCCAATTTTGGCTGGTTGGGATTGGGGCAGACTGTATTAGTGAAATTAAGAAATTAACAATGTTTCTTGGAAACTGTCCTAATCTGCCTGCTTACAAGGAAATGGTCAGAAGTCGAAGTGGCCAAATCAAACAGGCCGTATACCATTCGATGCAATATAGAACGCTGACTTCGAATCTGTCTTCCTTATCTGCTTATCGCTTCTGTGGACAAAGTTACAAGCAGTTTTGCTGTGGAAAAATTGTACATAAAAACTGTGAAACTATGTACATTGTTGCTATTAGCGCTCAGCTTTAGGCTTTAAGAGTTTGAAGTAAGTTAGCTGCATGTTTTGGCCCAGCATCAAACCAAACATGGCTCTGTTAGGCTAAATTTTCACTTTCACGCATAATTTCTTAGCAAAATGTTGGCCTTTAATTGCTGATAGCTTCGTCCAGAGAAGCGATAAGCAGATAAAGAAGACATATTCAAAGTCAGGGCTTCATGCTGCATCTAAAGGTATGCAGCTTGTCTGGATTAGCCACTCCGATATCTGACCATTCCCTTGCTAGCAAAAATAGTCATGTTGGGGTTTGTTCTTGAGGGAAGTACAGTGTGGCAAATCTGTCTTCCAATGTGGAAGGTCCATCGCAGCAACTTCGTTTTCACAGCGCTGAGCTTAGGCTCCTGGTTCCTCCCCAGGGCCTTTCTGCTGACATCATAACGGTCCGGTGTAGTCGGGATCTTACTATAACATCTTTTGGTGACTGCCAAAGCGATGCGACGGGGGTACTCTCCTCCCGCATATGCTTTACCGTTGTGCTATGTGTTCTCTTACAGTGTTAACAGCAGATTCGCGACAACGAGGGCAGTCCAGATTATGCGGCGACGAAATATAACTGCGATACATGAACTAAAGCGGATGAGAAAGGCCGAGAGAGTACTGGGGAGCGCATGCACTCAAGGAGGAACCACATAGTTTGCGTAACAGCGACGTAGAGTTGACGGCGTTCGTAGTTAGTTTCCAGACTGTATGCACTTTAAGTGCAATTTATAGAGCTTGCTCCGCATGGAAAGTCAAATATGGGCAACAGTCCTCAAAGATCACCTCCTCAGTCATAAACAAGCAAGAAGGGGATCAAGTGCGTGTCATGTGCAGAGCCCAAACAACAACGAAATATTGATTCCAGACTACCGAATTAGTGCAAATGTCTGACCCCCGGTTGCTATCATAATTCGGAAAACTGTCGCGCTTTTTGCTTCTTATCCTGCCTAACTTCTTACAATCATTAGTTTTCGGAAAGCACATTATGATTTTGAACAATATGAAGGTTAGGAAAATAAGATAATATAACCTATTAATTTTACGGGGTTTCGCTTAACCCTCACCTTTTGAATGCTTGTACATCTTGTGAATGCTCGTTTTTGAAAATATTGTTTTTGCCTCTGGAAATAGAAAAACAGGGGGAGCTACGTCTCATTGGAAGAAAAGAATCAGTCGATTCATGCGGTAGTACATTTTTCTAAATTTCAACGAACACTTTGCTAAATTTCCAGGATTAAATGCTGAATCTCACAAAAACCTGTTAAATACTTACTTTTGGATGATTTACAATGTGAAAATATTGTTTTTGCCTATAAAAACAAATGAGCAGAGGGAGCTCGGTCTGCTAAAAGGAAAGACCCAACAAATCTACTCGAAAACACATTTCTCCCAACTAGTTTTAATGTGAAAATTCACAGAACTTGCTGCATTTGTTTTTGGCGGCCTCTACTTTGTGAAATCCCTACTTTTGCCAATAAAAACAACACAGCAGAGGGAGCTTGTCTTGATGGAAGAAAAGACTTAGTATTTATGCGGCAGAAGATTTTTGATATGATTCTCTAGGTTTCAGTGCTGAATCTCACAGGAAAGGCTTGAAATTCATTTTGGCCGCTTTTATCTTGCGAAAACCGTACTTTTGCTTTGAAAAGTATAAGTCTTGAAGAAAGGAAAGCTTCAAGGACTTTATGCGGCAGCGCATTTAGGCTAAGGACTTTTCAGATTCAATGCTAAATGATGCAGAAGCTCGCTTGAAATTCACTCTTGAATACCCAGACGGCTCATACGACAGGACATTTTTGCTAGGAATGTTCAAGAAAAGGCTTTGAGCGAGCTTTGGTCTCACTTTAAGAAATGACCGTTTCTTGGCCAGGCGTAATAAGGAGAGTATAGGACTGTGCATGATCGCGAAGCTTAATGTGTTAGCGGCCGTTGCACAGTTCCTGAGTTAGCCTGAATTTCGGGTTGAAAGCTGTTCTACATAGATGACTGCTGAGGTGATCTTCATGTTTAGTAGCTGTGGTATCTGAGTCGGGTACTTGCAAGAAGAACAGCGTAGATGATTTGGGAGTTACTCACCATGAAAACTTTCCTTGAGAGCATAATCTTACTCCTACTACTACGTACTTACGTTGCCCCAAGATCGTTGAGAAAATGGAAATGATCTTGAAATGAAATCTTGAAATGAGCCCGATCTTGCTTCCACTACTACTTGCATTGCGAAAAAGATGTTGAGAAAATGGGAATTCATTCTTGCTATTTTTAGTTGCACGCAGACAGTTATCAATGTATCTGCCCCAACCCACTTGCTGGCGACCCGTAGGGTCGTACTGCCGCGGGACTTTTTTGTTAAGACTTCCTTGTTTTCAACGCTAAGTTATAAGAAACCTCCTTGAAATCCACTTCAAGCAAAAATTCTTGTGCTCTCAATAGCGGAAAAGTAAAGGAGCTTTGCAAGAAGAACAGCGCAGATGATTTGAGAGTTACCATTATAAAAAGTTTGCTTGAGAGCATGATTTTACTCCTACGACTACATATTTACGTTTCGCCAAAAATCGTCGAGAAAATGGAAGTCCATTTCCTTACCATTTTAAGTTGCACGCAGATAGTTATCAATGTATCTGCCCCAACCCAGTTGATAGCGACCCGTAGGGTCGTACTGCCGCCGGACATTTTTGTTAAGACTCCTTTGTTTTCAAGGTTAAGTTATAAAAAACCTCCTTAAAATCCACTTCAAGCAAAAATTCTTGTGCTCTCAATAGCGGAAAAGTAAAGGAGCTTTGCAAGAAGAATAGCGTAGATGATTTGAGAGCTACCATTGTAAAAAGTTTACTTGAGAGCATGATTTTACTCCTACGACTATATATTTACGTTTCGCCAAAAATCGTTGAGAAAATGGAAGTCCATTTCCTTACCATTTTAGGTTGCACGCAGATAGTTATCAATGTATCTGCCCCAACCCACTTGATAGCGACGCCTAGGGTCCCTACTGCCGCAGGACATTTTTCCGAACAATTCCTTGTTTTCAAGGCTAATTATAAAAAAATCCTTGAGATCGATTTTACTTCGCGAAAGTTATGCTTTGGCACCCAAAAGCAGAAAAGCAGAGGAGGCTGGTCTCAAAAGAAGGACAGAGCCACGGGCTTCACAGCAGGACCTTTTTGCTAGATTATCCGATAGAAAGCTTCGGCGAGTTTTATATCTTTTAGTATCGCTATAAAAGTGCCTTCATACCACGACGGCAGCCGTCGCCAGCAGCCCGTAGCCGTAGCTGGCCGCTTTTGTCATAGAAGCGCAAAATCATCAAATTCTTGGTATTTCAAGCGCAAACGCCCACGCTTTCCATCTTCCACGCTTTTTCCTCCCTGTTGCGGTTAATCTGCAGTTCCACTTTCACACACTACAGAGTTATTCAAGATAAGCACCGGCCAAGGATATAATTGAAGCAGAACCATGCATATAAAATAAACACTACAGACGGGACGCATCCAAAGTTAGATGATCATACCGCAAAGAAACTTTGGCGAAATATGGTTCAACTGCGAAAGGGAAACTGAGCACCAGTAGGATAACCAATCTACGGCAACAAGATTC